GGTATGGCGATAGCCAAACAACCGAAAGTTCAAGAAATGTGTCTTGCAATATCAGAGGGGTGAGTGGTCGTCAAGATTATCAGCTAAAATAATTTGCATACAATCAAAGGACTGAATTTGCCGAAGCAGTCATTCAACAAGTTCAAGCACACTCACACTAAAGAGTTACCAATGCAGCACTACGTCGACGTCAAGCCTGTTTTACTACTCGGTTTAGACAACTGCCATTTAGGCGTACCCACAACGACAGTCGCCGCCAGATTTAAACAACCAGTCGCCATTTATACAAAGTTGGGCTGGGTCGTCTATGGACCTCATTGTGAAGCTGACACAGCCATACCGAGGGTGCTTCACGATCGTAAGTCCGTCGCTTTGGGTCAGCTCAACAAACTAGTTGAAGAATATTTTTCGGTAGGTATTAAACATCGAATCACGCATGTTGAGGGATGCGGATTACGCCGAAATCTATAAGAGGGAAATTTCGAAATACCTCGACAAAGGTTACGCACGAGAATTAACGCCAGACGAAGCCACACACGAAGGACCGAGGACATGGTACCTTCCGCACTTTGGCGTCTTTCATCCGCATAAGCCGCAAAAACTCCGTATCGTTTTTGACGCAGCTGCCGCCACAAATGCCTTATCATTAAATTCAGTCTTGCTGAACGGTCCGGAGCAAGCGCAGTCACTCGTAGCTATAATTCACAGATTCCGCCAGGGAATTGTAGCAGTCGCCGGAGATATTCAAGAAATGTTCTCACAAGTGCGAATACGAGACGTCGATCAGTATGCGCAACGATTTCTGTGGCGAGATGGAAAGCTGAAAGAACCGATCCGTACCTACAAGATGACAACAATGATTTTTGGAGCTATTTGTTCGCGGTGCTGCGCGGAGCACGTTAAAAATACCAACGCTACCAAGTTCCAGTCTACTATGCCCAGGGGTGCTCGTGCAGTCATCGAGAGCACGTATGTCGACGATCTAGTCGTAAGCTTCAATAGCGCCGACGAAGCAGTTGCAGTCACCAACGAAGCCATCAAAATCAACGCCGCTGCGGGTTTCAAGCT